AAATAAATAAATAAATACGGAGAGGCACCTGAGTTGATCTCAGTCAGTTAAGCATCCTAATTGGGCTCAGGTCATGATCTCAGTTTGTAGGTTCAAGCCCTGTGTCAGGCTCTGCACTGACAGCATGGAGCCTACTTGGGATTCTCTCCCTCCCCCTTCTCTCTGCCCCTTCCTCACTTGCACTCTCTCTCTCTCAAAATAAATAAACTGTAAAAAAAACTCTTTTTTAAATAAATAAATCCTGAGAAAGTAAATCCTAAAAGTTCTTATCACAAGGGGAAAAAAATGTTTTCTAGGAACTATAGGAGGTGATGGGTGTTAAGTTCCTGTGGTAACCACTTCACAAGTAGGTCAGGTCATTGTACTGTGCGCCTCAAACTTACATGGTCAATTCTATCTCAGTAAAAACTGAAAATGAAATAACGGAAGAATACATCCAACCCCAAACCAAAGTCACATCACACAGGTGAGACTGGGCTGCGTCACTACAGAAACAGGACAGAAGGAGGAGCGTGAGGGACAACACCCATCAGGTGTGCTGTTGAGGGCGGGCTGCCCACCTCACATCCCGCTGCCCCCAGCCCTTCCCGTAAGGCAGGCACTCAAAGAATGCTCGCTAAGTTAACAGGTGAGGCTACAAGGTCAAAATCAAAGCCAAGAAAAAGCTAACCAGGCTAATTTAAAATTTAAATTTTCATTTATTTTCCTAAGACCAACAAACCTGTTGCTAGGGTTAAAAATACCACCCCCCCGACCCTCCAACAGAATCCTATCTTCTCAGCTGCCTTACGAGGAGTAGAGCCTGCCAGGGGCTGCAAGGCTGAACCTGTGGAGAGGAGGGAATCCCTGTTGCACCCTAATGGGTAGAGCCAACGTGTATTGCAATCCACCCTCCTGCAGAGGAAGGCCTCCCACCTGAGATGTGGGGCCCAAATGTCAACAGTGCCGACGGCGAGAAACGCTGGTGTGGAAAATCTGTAGCTTAAGCCCAAGCCCTTCAGATACAGACAGCAAGTGTGCTGAATTCCTGGTAATAAATGTCATATTTCAGTGTGCATGCCTGGGACTTCAGTGTGCATGCCTGGGAAACACATACCCCAGCCCTACACACAGTGACCACATTAGAGGGGGTTAAGGGGCGCTGGCGATGATGGCTTCCCTGTTGAACATGAGGACAGGCCCCACTGAAAGTCATGATCTTAGCCTCTATAATAATTGTTTTCAGCCTGACATAAGAGCTGTAGGTGGGAGGGAGCCTGGGGATGAACGCCCTTGAAAAAAAATTTTTTTTAAGTTTATTTTAGAGAGACAGACAGACAGACACAAGCAGGGAAATGGCAGAGAGAGAAGGAGACACAGAATCCGAAGCCGGATCCAGGCTCCGAGCTGTCAGCACAGAGCCCGATGAGGGGCTCGAATTCAAGAACCGTGAGATCATGACCTGAGACGAAGTGGGATGTTTAATGGACTGAGCCACCTAGGTGCCCTGGGAACTCCCTTTTTACACTCATGTGAAATTCTTCCAGGAAAACTGAGGAAGAGGATATACAGTGACTGTGTGCACTGGTCTCTTGTCTCCTTAATAAGTGACACTAAAGTATCCAATGGTAATGACGAAGCAGGCACCCCTGCCATAGAGCTGGGAGCAACACCCCAAAATGAACCTGCACGTTAAACCTGGGCGGCCACAGACAAAGGATTGCTCTGCCCAACAGTGACTGTGCAAAATGAAGGTGGGAAATGAGAAGGTTGTTTAGGTCTATAAAATAAGGCTTTTCACCAGAAAACACAAGTGGCCCATCCCGTCCAATGGGCTTCAATTAAAGGAAAAAATAAATAAAAAGAGGTTTGCCCTAAGATACTTGATAAATTGGACAACAGCACAGAAAGGAAACTCTGGGAAAGAAACACATCTGGCGAGCCTCACGCCGCTGTAAAAGCTGCTGGTGCTTTCCAAACTCTCAAAGCTCCAAGAACACTCTGTTGCCCAGCTTTGCAAAGAGCAGTCTGCAACTCTATATGCAGCTATCGTCCGGACACATCCTCCATATACCGACTTTATCAGCTGGGATGTACGCGCAGGGCGGGGATGTTAGACAGAGGAGCTGCACGTACCTGGTACTCAGGAATGGACCTTACCGCCTCCACAACGGCCAGGGACATCAGATGCTGGACAAATGGGATCCTCTGTCCCAGCTGGGACCTCAGCGGGATGGAGACGAGCAGGGTGGACACGGCGCATCCCATGGGGCTCAGCCAAGCATTCGATCCCCGCCCTGGAACACAGGCCCCATCAGGAAAGTGGCCACGTTGCCATGCGAACAGAGTCAGATGCACACAGCGGCAGCAAATGGGCCGAGCAGCCACGTGCGCAATCAACCCAGACTGATTACGATGCTTGGAGATTCTAGGGTTAACTCCAGAACAGAGAAGCTTTTTAAAATCTGATGCTGTGTTGCTGAACAAGTTTCTGATAAGTAGCAGAATGTTCAGCCTCAGTGAGCATATCATTTAGGCTTTGATGATTCAAAGTCTTACAGTGTCTGAACGTGACTGTCAGCTTAATTTTCTCCATACGGCCATGCAGGCAAAAACAGAAACAGTGGGGAAAATGAGCCGCGTGTGTCCTGTCCAGGAGAAGTCCTGGGAGCCACATTTTAGAAGTGACCCATATTGTGGTGATAGTCTCACAACCTGTGAACATATTTAAAAAAACCCAAAATTGTACACTTTAAATGAGGGAACTGTATGGCATGTGAATTACATCTCACTGTTATAAGGGGGGGAAAAGGAAGTTGAATTTAAAAAGTAAGCCCTAGCATTAACTCTCTGAACTATTTTTTCCTAAAACAGAAGCCAAGAAAATAAAGTGATCAAAATGAGAGGTATAATCAAAGTCCTTCTATGTCCTTCATTTAAACCACCATATTGAGCCCCCCGGCTTTGGATAAAATGAATTTTCTCTTTGAGTTATGTTCAAAAGACATATTCAAAGGAAAGAAGTGGGAAACAGTGGATTTATTTCATTGCTCCTTCTGAGAAAGGCGTAAGGAGCCTCTCTTGAGAGTTACAAGCACGTTTGGGTTGGCCTGGCGCTGTCTGGAGCAGGGGCGAGGGCCAAGTGCCTCCTGCATGACCACCGAGCATGGAATCTGCTTGTGGTTGGACCCCAAGTGGATTCTGGGAGGATGCGGGCTCTGGTTTCCGAGGGTCAGCAGGTGGCGGAAGCTCTGAGCAGCCCTTGGCTTCTCTGTGATCACTCTGTGAACGGGCATTGACCACTGATCAAGCGCCCGCTGCATGGAATTTCCAGGGCAGCCGGGGTGGGGGCTGGCAGACGGAAGGCCTCCCCTGTGTGACACTCAATAGGGACACAGAAGGCACCTCCCAGAGAACCTTCAGGCAAATAAATGTCTCTATAACACAGTCATGATTCACACACTGCAATGCCTAGAATGTGTCAGAAAGAGGAATTTACAAGATGTAGATGACTGAATGTTAAAACCATCCCCAGGGGCGCCTGGGTGGCTCAGTCGGTCAAGCGTCTGACTTCCACTCAGGTCATGATCTGGCAGTCTGTGAGTTCCAGCCCTCTGTCGGGCTCTGTGCTGACACTCAGAGCCTGAAGCCTGCTTGGAAGTCTGTGTCTCCTTCTCTCTCTGCCCCACCCCTTCTCACACTCCCTCAAAAATAAATAAACAAACAAACAAAAATTCCCAGTAGAACATCCAGTGATTAATAACCATCTCAGTTTGAGACAATGCTTTTAATTGTACCAAAAGGCTCAATCTTCTGATCAATTTCCCGCCCTCTTCCTCCATTTTAGGGGGTGTGAACACAAGCACTTCTAATGTGCGTCTCCTCCACAATCAGCACACACGATCCATTGGCAATCTGGACACAGGAGTCACAGATTTTAGAAAACAAAACAGCAGAAACGATAACAAAAGATGACTGACCTTTGCCCTGTGTTTGGCGGACTGCGATGGCTATTAACCCCATTTCCTGCGGGATCTCAAACATCAACCTGCAAACGGTGGGAAAGACTGGTCAGCCAGAACGGGGACATGATAGGGCAGCCCACAGCTCACACACAAGGAGGGACCCTGTTGGCACTCATTTGCGAGCATGTGGGGGAAGAAAGGGCCATTTTCCAGGTCTCGAGGGATAATGACCCCCTTCCCAGCCTCTGCAGTGGGAACAAGGAAGAGCCAAGAAAACACCATTTAATCAAACAAGATTGGGGTGGGGAAAGGCTATGTACCTGCCTGAGCTCTTAGTTTATTTAAGACATTGCTCGATTCTATTTCTTCGGAATATCCTACCAAGTTCTTTCTTCCCCACTCTGATGTGGTGTCCCCTCTTTGGGTGACAACTAGCAGTTCCTGACATTTGTTTCTACTTACGGTGCGTTTCTGTCCGAACACTAGAACATAATCATAACAGAAGTTTCTGATTATTCAGAAAACCAATATGGTGGCAATAAAGCCGTTTAAAAGATACACTATCCCCTGAGAACTAATTATGTTTTAACTATAGTAAATAAATCTACACCTTCTGAGAACTCCGGAGAACCTTGGATCATTTTAGGCTTGAGTTCTGCTTTTAAAATGGTTTCATTTAAAAGAATACAAACTTCCCTTTGGGGATAGGTAGAAAAGTGCCTTATATCTCCACCAAATGAGTCAATATTAACCTTTTTTTCCCCCAGAAAAGGAAAGGAGGAAAAAAAAAAAATCCCTCACACTGAGAATTTCCTCCCAGCCACTTTCTACATATTTTAACTCTGCGTGAGGAAGACTTTCCTCTGCATTCCCAGGAGTTGCTGACCAGGTACCGAGTGGGCAAGGCTCATGGTAGAATTTATTAAACCAAGCAAAAATCAGGTTTGCCCACTGCGGGTGCAGCTGCTGGCTCTGTGAAGTACTTTTGGGAGAGGGAAGAGGTGAGAGGAGGGATGATGGAGAGATGGTATTTGTATGAAGTTTCCAATAATAGTTTCCAAGGTTCCATAGCACCCTGCTCCCCAGTTGCTGAGGAGAAAGGGCCCTGAAGAAAGACCACGATCGGGGCTCAGGGAAGGGGGTGGGCCTCCACAGATGGTAAGAGAAGAAACACACTTAAAAGTGTAGAGAAACGGCACAGTGTCTCTCTGTGCACCATGGCCGGCAGACTTTGGCATTGATGCGCACGGACCCCAGTAGCAAGGGGCCCGGAAAACCCCTTTTCCTTGCTAAGAAGAGCCTGGCCACACCGGGTGGGGGCTGGCTGGTCTGACAGGCACAGGGCACTCCCAGAGAGCAGGCGGCCTGCGTCGACGTGCCAAGCCCACCTTCCATCTTACATGAAACACAGCTCCAGAAGTATTTCTCTTGGACACCATGAATAACCCATTGAGACCAACTGTTCCTATGCAATGTTGGGCTCCAAGAATAAAGCGTCCTTTTCTTGGGTCGGACCAGCGGAAAACAGAGAAGGGATCTCTGTCCATGCAGGGAGGTAACACTGTCTTCTCAGGACTTCACGCTTTCCAGAAAGTTCCGGCAACCCCTCACCGAGGCTCCAAAGGCCACAGGTTCTGGTGGCGGTGGGGGGCAGCTAACAACCTTTTCTAGGGGAGTAGGCGGGGGGGATGATTTAGCACGCTGTGAGCAGACTGCAAAAGCTCTCTCAATGGCAGGCAATCTAGGATGTTCTTTAAATAAACATGTAGACAGAACACGGTCCTGTCGATAGCCAGTGCTGGTGATGGTGGAATTAGGCGAGGGGGTGGGGGAGGTTTAGAAACCAAACACAGACTTCTAGAACAAAGAGAAATGATTAAGGGAACATATGCACTCAACTGCTGGAGGTTTGGCAGCAGTTAACAGGGCATATTGATGAGAAGACGGAGTTTGTGCAGCTGAAGGCCAGGAGGAAATTCTGCAAGAGGGAGACAACGAGGGAAGGAGGTAATACGCGGTCTGAGACAACCAGGGGCCGCCAGATTTATTTGTGCTATCTGAGATAACTCTGGGGGCCAAACCACACGACTTACGGTCAACAAAGAAGCATTTATGAACTTCGCGAATTTTGCATTTCAGAAAATGAAGCCGCTAGGGTTTGCTTTAGCAGAAAGGAGGCACCATAAATGCATTTCCATCCTGAGTTGATGATGTTCTCACAAAAGGAAACAGAGAAAGAAAGAAAAAAAAAAAAAGGATGAGGTTACATAATGATTATGCCCCTGCTGCTGTATATTTTCTGTCCTTGTTTGCGAAGGCTGTGGAATAAAAGGTTTCTGTGAGTGGTAGCTGAATGCACTCACTTCGGTACTGACGGGGCATGCCGGAAAAGCGCTTTGTTTTTCTACTCTTCTCTGGAGTCTCCAACATCCAGACCTCAAAAGGCCACTTTGCAAATGTGACCACTTCGGTTCCTAAGGACATCACAGCACCTCGTGGGTGCTCGGCCAACGGGAATGTCCCGAATTTCACCGTTGGAATGAAGCTTCAATAATTAAGACTGATCTAGAGGACAGGCCGGTATGAACCTGTGTGAAAATCCTTAAGGAATAAAAATTAAATTAAATTCAGACCCATTCAATCCATTTTGGGGATTCAAACCTAAGGAAACAGTCAGTCCACATTCACCAAGAGCTATACAACTGTGGGAATAGCCCATGTGTTCAATAGGGAAATGTTGAGTACACTGTGGTACATGAAGTCAATGGAATAACTCCCATTAAATAGGGTGGTTATGAAGAGTATGTGGCAACATGAAAGAAATGCTTACAACACGCCGCTAAATAAAAAAGCAGTATACAGGGGCACCTGGGTGGCTCAGTCAGTTAAGCCTCTGACTCTTGATTTCGGCTCAGGTCATGATCCCATGGTTTGTGAGGCTGAGCCCCATGTCGGACTTTGTGCTCACAACACAGAGCTTTCTTGTGATTCTCTTCTCCCTCTCTCTCTGCCGCTCCCCAGCTTGAGCACATGCTTACACACTTGCTCTCTCTCTCAAAATAAATAAAAACTTGAAAAAGCAGTATACAAAAACCTACATATACTTTTATTCCAACTATGTAAAATTCATAGAAAACGGAGTGAGATTTATTCAGGCTTTATTACTTATTAGGCATTATAGGATGATTTTTTATTTTAAAACTTTCCTTTAAGATGACTGGTTACCTTTAAAAATTATGCTGAAATTTGGCGCACTTGGGTGGCTCAATTGGTTAAGCATCTGACTTATACTCAGGTCATGATCTCACTGCTTGTGGGTTCGAGCCCTACGTCAGGCTCTGCGCTGACAGCTCAGAGCCTGGAGCCTGCTTTGGATTCTGTGTTTCCCTCTCTCTCTGCCCCTCCCCCGCTCATGCTCTGTCTCTCTCTCTCAAGAATAAACATTAAAAAAATTATGCTGAAAAATTCTGGCAAAAAAAGCATGGCTTTTATGTTTAGATATAATATTTGTAATTAATTCCTCATCAATATTTCCAAGAAAAGAACTAAAAGATCTGCTTTAAAATTAAATAAGACAGAGTTATCTACAGCACCCGTTTTATTATGAGCAAAAGCTTATTTGATAGTATTAAGAAGTAGAAATTCTTGAAACCAGTCTGTTCATAAGCAATCAGCCTTAAAAACTTTATGCTTTCTGACCTGGTGACTGTCCTTCTAGGTGTAAATCCTAAGGAGTATTCAGAGAGAGAAACAAAATAATTCAGGGGCACAACTATTCATCACAGCTTTACAATGTGAAAATCAGAAACAATATGAACAGTCTATGAATAAAGGAATGAAAAAAATCATAGCATCCTCACATGAAAACCTATCATGTAGCCACCTGTGATACACGCAAATGTCCACTGGACTCCTTCAGGTGATTAAATTATGACGCAAAACCCTATATACAGCATTATTCTAAAAGATGTTTTAAAATACCCTTTTTGAAATTGTTAAGAAATATACCACAATATTAGCTCTGGTTATTCTGATGAGTGTATTCATTTTAAAAAAAATACAGAAAAGTGCAGAGCAGAAAATAAGTCCCTCTTCTCATTAAAAGTGCATAGTCTCTTAGACTTTCCCCCCTTTTAAACAAATACACATAGATATATTTTACAAAATAGGTTTTCTGATGATTGGAGAAATTCCTGACTGTGGAACTATTAAAAGGATGTTGCGGATGTATAGTTATGGACATCTTATTGATACCTTATTTGATTGATATCTTACTGATATTTTAATCTTACAGACAATAAAAAAGGGAATGCGTGAAAACAGCACGTGTGATCCCCTTCTATGTAAGCTGTCCATTCCTGTGTGCATTTAGAGAAAAATACAGGACACGCATCAACAGTGGCTGTTACCTCCAGAAGGTGGAGGTGGAACCAATACGTGGTGATGTTAACTCCTCCATGCTGTCTCATGTGGTCTCTGGGTGGTAAGATTTCACGTGGTTTTGAATTCCTTCTTTATACTTCTCTGAATTTTCCAGTGTTTCTGCACTGGGAGTGCATTCATTGTACAATCAGGAAAAAATGCTATTTAAAAGAAGATTTATTGAAACTCAACTTTGCTTCCTTAGGTGAAGCATGCATCTGCCAGCTCACTAGCTGGGGAGCACTCTCTTCCTTTCCAGAGACGGTAGACTGCCAACCGACTGAGCGGTAGCAGGCTCCCTGTAAGGATCCCCCATAACTCGAACGCTGCACGTACGGCTGTGCCGGTCCCTTGCCGTCCTTCCCTGGGAAGCATGTGCCCCGTGCAACGGGCAGGCTGAATCTGCCTCCTGTCCCTGCACAGATTGCCGCTGGGCTCGGGAGGTGGCATGCGTGTGGCCACCGGCATCTTCGGAGCATGGGGGGCCTTCATCAACTCTTGCTCCTGGTGCACATGCTGTGTCTTTTCTTTGCTGTCTTCCCCCTGGTATTCTCAGTTCTGACCCCTCCCTTTACTTGGCTTTCGGAAACACGCATTCTCAGATAGTCCCCCTTCCGTTTTCTATACGTAAAAAATAACCCAATTAATGGGGTAGGGATGA